TCTGCGTGCGCATCAATTCTATGTGCAGCACTAGCACGCTGGCCGCGGCCCTGCTGCCTAACAGTGCGGTGACGCCGAGTGATCGAGGTAATAGAATGCGGACTCGACAAATGGTTTGCCTGATCGTTCGAGGCGATCCAGAATATCCGTTTCACTTATGAGGCTGACACCACTGAAGGGAATTTGTATGAGTTTTTGTGTGCGTGTCTGTATATGCGAACAGAAAAAGGTCCGACCGTCGACGATCGCTTGAAGGCGATATTACATCTACAATAAAAAAAAAAAAAAAATACATTCCAAATGCTACTACTGTCCGTGTTTATGGCCGTCATAGAATATAGAGCGTATAGCGTTGAATGGCTTTTAAGACGTTTGCCACTAATCCATTGCACTTTGTATGCTATTCGAGTTGCGCGCTTTGTTTGCGAAATGGTCAATCCAGTTTCAATAAATTGTCTGTCTCAGCTGGTCTGCTTACTAAAATGCGCCATTTTACTATTCACAGTATGGTACTTAAGGCTAAATCCGGTACACTGAACAATAACAGGGTCCAGATTGTTAGAGGTCGTATAATTTACGCCAGAATACCATATGATATATACGTTTACTGTAGCCATTACAGCGGACTCTTTGCTTACCTATCTACAAGCTGCAATAGCGTATCACCTGCATGCAAAAAATAGGTTTATTTCAATGACCGATGTTCGGTAGCTTACCACTATAACGTCTGCTGTTCCAATCGTTTCTCCATCGCGGGAAAAAAGGTACCAGCGTGTCTGAACCCGTTCAGTCGCTAGTGCCTGCCCTAAGCACTACTCAATAACTTAATAATTCCTCCCCTTAATCACTTACAACATTCTAACGTGCCGCCCTGACTACCAAACCATGCTAACCTGCGCCAAGATTAGCCGGTGCTATTATGGCTGAAGGCATGCAGCCTTTTAGACTCACTGGGCGTTCTGCCCAGGGGGTGACACTTGACTAATACGGAATCGAAGATATCCTTTGTTAAGTTCAATATCTGTCCCGTTTCAGTGCTGAAGACAAAAGCGCTTCATAGCATGACCAAGTCATCTGTTATATTATGTATCTGTGTTGACTTCTGGTCGAAAGTTAAAAATATGTCTTCTACTAAACTGCGTTTTAGCTTAATTCAGATCTGTGTACAAGTTGAAATATAAAGCTCGGCACCGCTGGTACAAGCCCCATCGACGTCGAGGTGGACAAATAGACTTGTATGACCATAGGTGACGGCGGAAAGGGCTAAAATTCACTAGAATATTACGTGTCTTTTGCAGTTTGTGTTTACCTAGACCTGACTGGAAATGAACCGATGCGCATACCCCGACGCTTGCTCATATATTGTCAAATGGTTCCATCGAAAATTACTATTAATTATATGCCTTAATTGATAATAATTACGTAGCGCGCATTTTGCCAGCTAATGTACCGTGAGGCTACCCATATTGCAACAATTATAGTACAATATATTTAGTATTATTCGTATTCCATCATTTTTATCAGGGTCAAAAAGTAACACTCGCTCTCAGTTAATTGAAATTCGGGCAGGCAAAAGTTCTCCAGAAGCCTAAGTTATGATGGGCAGAACTATTAAGGTAACAAAGTGCTGTTGCTATATAGCTCAAAGGTAATAAAGGGCCGTTTCATGAAGTGTACGTTTTTTGTATTCACCGCTACACCGCACCACCCTGTAGGTCCCTCAGCGGCGTCATTATACTTATATTACTTCATTTGCATTTTATTTACGAAATTTACGTGTGAAAAATTACGGTCCTCTTCCTTTCCTCTCTGACTAATATTGCAGTAATTTATGACGACTTCGATTGACAGGACAACAACCTGGATTATTTAAGTTTTGATAAACTGCTTTACCTATGTTTCTATTGCAGACAAGTAATTATTAAAGTGCTTTCATATAAACGCTATCATTGGCTTGGACCCGCAGGCGTATTTGACTACGAGAGTATAGCTACTAAAGCGCTATTGAAATAATAGAGCTAGATAATAAATCTATTATTTATCGTCTTGAAACGGACTTGAAAAGGCTTTAAATGTTTGATTTATCTATCAAACCTCATTTGAGGCTCGGTACAGCCACTATGAAGTTACCAAATTTACTGCGGCATGCCTGTTTTCATATACATGTACAGACGGAAGAGTTTAAAATCCGACCGGTGATCATTCTAAGTTCAACGTGTCGTACAATGTTTAGCAGGCGAGGGAATATTCTACGTCCCATTAGACGGCTTGTACAGACCGGAATGTAAAACTCTATTATATTTAGAACCCCTCGGCATGTTGTGATGTAGCACAGCTACTCCGCGGTGCAACTCCCGCTCTACAAATGAATCGAACGGCAATGGCCTTGCAAACAACTTACACTCATTAAATGACAGGTCCGGACGGCAACCCGACAAACTTTAGCCCGGCACGAGCAAGGCAGCACATGTGCATATATCACAGGATATTGTTAGCAAACCGAGTTCTCTATGTACGATGATTTAGTCTGAAATATGAACGGTTCGGTACCGTAAGATAGCTTTGGAACGGTCATTTCAATTCATTCCCCGGGACTTTTCCAGCTGTCGAGCCTAATGTATAAACGTTCATGTACGTTTCGGGGTCCCCAGCTTAACACAGACATTCCGATCAAATCTTGGAATAGCTTGACGCAAGCCTGCTACACTATCCTGTAAACCGTAAGTGAAAATTAATTCATGCGAGTACGTACTATAATTGATCGTTCCTCTAGATATGGCGGATAATAGGCTGGTACGAGCCTCGATGTCACAGAGCAAAGGCTTAGAAATGCTGGCAGAAGTTTCGTATCGTAAGTAACAAACAAGTATATTTGGCTTTTCCTACTGGTATTAAATCTTCCTTCAAGGGAAGACAAATGTCTAACAATAATATATTTAAAGCCAGATCTCATATCTACGGGATAAATAAGATAAAACAAAAAAAAAATAGAATGTTTCCAAAGAGGCTAGTGATTTTCTTTTTATATATGATAATATTGCGGAGCTTCAGTGTAGTAAATCAGTCATCCTTGACGTTTCACATGATTCAGTGACCACGTCTGTTTCGAGTGTACTGCCACGAGTCCTAATCACGAGCGCGTTCGTTTTGCCTGCCTAATCCTGCTTCATTGCATTGTCGCCGTTGTGGCGTTCTTCTGTCAGCATCAGATGTTCCACAGACTTTCATGAATCAGCCTTTGCCTGAGCATGTGTGTGAGCGTGTCAACACCGATACGCTAACTGCAGCGTTACTAATGCTCCATGTGGCCTGGAACTAGAGACTTCGGGCTTGTCTAGGATGACTTTGTTTACTTTTCTGGTATGCTGGTGCTTTATTTTCCTTTATTGGCTTACGGAAAGACGAGGCACGAATCGACGATGCTACTAAACGCCGAGACTCCTGTCAAATATTCGAATATATCCGCTCAAACGCATGTATGTATCTACCTTGTATCGTGCAGTCCTTTAATGGTATACGCCAGCAGAAAGAACCCAAGGAGGAACGTTGGTATATATGCTAATATCCATGCCCAGGATAGTCGCATCCATGCATATGCACGCTGCACTTCACCATTGCATCACTACAGCCGAAAGTATCCCTGGCTTTTGTGTTTAATCATAGTACCTCAGTGCTTTCCTAGCTAACCCTTGACCGCCCGACCTCGTGTCCTGCTACGCAAAAATGTTGTTGAGCTGAGTCTCACCGCATTTAGGGTTGAGCTACGCTGACGACTGAGGAGAAACTGTTTTGTCTCAACGTTTGCTATACCACTTGGCAATCTGTAGGTAAAACACGTAATTGCATCGCACAACCGTATCTCGTATTCTGGTTGCGACATCGTGCAAAAGTTCATTTGGTTGGCCTGCATGTTCGCAGGGCTTGTTGGGGTATCACTGTTGAGAATTGGACTAGTTGTGTCTATACCTGAATCTATTGATGACGCAAGAATATTTAACAAGTATATACAACGGGAGTTGAACAATAGCTAATCGACCGTAGAAAGAGAACAAATGAGACATGACGAAAATTTGATATAGGAAATGTATAGGGTATCCCGCTAATTCGCAGCTTTGCACCGGGCCCAAACGGCGGCAAGCAAGTGCAACCTTATTAATCAACTTGTACCTAATTTTGATACGACGGGAGCATTTCTTTTTCGGGGATCACTAAAAGCGCGTATAAAATCGTCGAATAAATAAACTTAAAGGGATTCACAAAATTGTATAGTCCTCGAAGGCCAAAAGCTGAGTAAATAAAAAAATATGACCGTACGCGTTTGCTTTAGAGGAGGTATTCTAACCCTACGTGCCGTCAGCGATACAGTGGCGATCTCGATGTGATTTTAGCAGTCCATAAGTAGCATCGATTCGGGCATCTTGTACCATGATAGCGTAACGTAAAACCCGAAACTTACGTTTGCTGTTGAGAGATGATAGTACAATGCAGAGGGGAGCTTTTAACCATAACCTGTTTCGCATACAACGTTGCTGATTTCATGCGCTATGAGCTACCTGTTATGAGTAGGAATAATGTAAATAGCTTAAACGAGCTTGAATCGAACCTAAACTATTCCACTACGTCCAACAAATACATATATCTGTGTAAGCAACGCGTATGCTGATATACGACGAATGTTTCGATATTCTCATTGGTATCATGGATTTTGCTGTCCCTTTTTATATGAAAAAAAGTTTTTTGGAGAAAAAACGGAAAAGTGCATACATTTTTTCCCCATTGGCATAACCCATGTCTCCATCGATATATCCGATATGTGTCTCCATTTAGAGATGCACACTTAGCTCTAAAAAAATCGTTTTTACGATACATGCTTAGCGGTTTACAAACTAAATACAAAATAACTTCTACAATGAATTACCTGGTATCTTCTAAATATGTAATAAAAATGTAAAATAAATAAACTATTTAAGCAAACACGTTCTGGATAATCCTGATTACATCTTTATATTTTCACTACTTTGTGTGCAGGATGTACACGTTCCGGGCTATTACCCTCCCTTTTCACCTTCGTTTTGCCACCGTCTTTCTCGCACTCATTTGAAGCATTGTTTGTCTAACTTCGCGCATTGCGTCCCAATGAGACGTAGTACTGATTTAGCTGGATTTAACAGTAAGTAATGGCGAGTCGACACGATCCTCGCGCTGGCTGTTGTCCTTTGTGTTTTATCATTCAGAAACTAGATTAGTTACATAAATGGCCAACTCGCGCATAATTAAGCGCGCACTTAGAAGCTTGTTAAGACTAGAAATGTCATATTCAGTTTGTTCCTCGTTAATCGGTTCCGACTTTGGTTTTAGCTTGAGACGCGCACCACTCCGACGAAGGCCAGCGGTCCCCGCTGGCGACGGCCCCGTACTACATCCATGGACGGGAAACGTCAATATCGTCCACCTATCACGCTGCCTGGTGGTTTAACTCGCCACTGTTAAACGGCGGCTACACAGACAAAGGACCGGAGCAGCAAAGGCAATTGAGCTGCAATATAAGGCAGCAGGGGGTAATTATCGCCTTATAAGGCTCGCTCGCTGTTAGCTGCTTGACGAATGGAGAGTAGGACTTTGATGATCTCCTCGCTTTGCTAGCGGTAATTTCGTCTTTCCCTTAATTTGATATGGCGACAACTATTGGATCTGTAGCATCATTATCGAAATCGATTAAATTCTAGCAGTGCCATATAAACAAGGCCCCGCCATTAATGCAAAGTGTTGATCACACTTATTTAGTCTCCTAAGGTAAAAACAGTGTCTGGGCATCATACGGTTTGCTTTCTTGGCCAAAACCGATTCGTAGCCAAGCTGGGTGGCACCTCTCTATTGGTCCGAAGATCGTATCTCAACATTCGGCACCGTTTACCAGCAAATTATTTACAAATAAACTGGAGCTACAGTTGTGATTTTCACGTTACGTCCCTTCTCGGGCCATACTTGCATGCAACTTGTATCAATAGAATGTAAATAATAGTCCTATCACTTGACCGTAAAGAAACTAGGAATTATCTTCTCACTATTTCGTCGGACACTGACATGAGGCGTCCTAGCAATATTACAATACGGCTAACTAATACGATCTTTTGGCGACAGCCTATTCAAGTCCGAACTTACTGGCATGCTATGAAACCGCCAGTAACGCTTTTTGCTTAGGTTGGCCTGACAACCAATCAAAGCGTGACCAAACTAAAACAAATGGACAGTGCAGTCCGACAGACGAAACCAGGACCTGTTCGTCTTGAATATATGTTACCATAAGGCACCTACTTTGCTCCTGAATGACGATGAGCCCATTACATAGACTATCGTAATAATAATAATCCAATAAGCAATTTGTTATGACCGCTTATTGGACTGTATATATTAACCATTACTAGCTGGTAATAGAGAAAGGTGACGATGAAATAAGACTGCTTACAGACAACTTTAACCCACAAAATTGTAACCTAACCTGTGTCTGAAAAAACTAGTTCAGAAACACTTACTTTCGAGTATTACAAAAAACAGTATCGATGTTTAGCTGTGGGCACATAAATTTGACTGGCTTTGGATATAGGGTCGACTTTTTAAATAAGTTCGAAAAGCAACGGCATGCTTGGCCGTACAAGACGTTCATTCGTCCGTATTTCGGTTACGTATTACTTATAATTGTTTCTTGAAGGAAAAACCAGGTACGTACATAAATGATGTGGTCCACAAAGCGAACACGTTTCGGGCTAGGGAGTAAACAGCGGAAGTGCTCTTCGCGCGCAGTAGTATCTGCAACATGGACTCTTTCAGTGGCAACAACGTAAGGATACAGCCAGCGCCGGCTGCGAAACGAGGAGCATAAGTTAATTTGTTGTGTAAATTCTACATGAAACTTTTGAAATTTAAAAAATCAGATTAAGAATAACAAAATAAACATGGAGATATGTGTTTATGCTAATATCTATATATAAGTGATGCTCTCAAGCTATTTGATGCTAATTTTTAGCTGTCGTTATAAGCGTCTAGTATGGATAAGGGTTACTGAATGGTCAAACAGTCACGTTTCTCTCACGAACGTTGCTTTTCGTCTGTTTGTCAATGGAGTCCACAGCAGTAATAATATCTAAGGTCAATCGGGGGGTAATTTAAGCGATTTAAATTTTTTACAATTTATAGGTTTCATGCCGGCTTCTGATTTCAAGATTAATGAAATAAATACAGACAACGATTAAACTTAGCTGGTCAAATCAAATGAGGATAGATGTTAAAAAAAAAAAGAGCAAAGTCATATTGTTTTATGATAATCATCGACTTGATGAATAGTTATGTGTGACTACTCAAAATTATGGGCTAAACTCGGAAAAAGGGTCTCTCAATGGGCCGCCTATATACGTGCTTTCTTGATTGGCTGCAAATGGTGGAAACAAGCCATGAGGAGTCAAGCAGACCCTTCTGAAAAAGTTTGCAACTTAATCTAAAAAGTCTTAACTACAGTCTTCACCTTCAGCGAAAGCAAGCGTTGCTTCGCCGACGTTTGCGTGTAGTGGCCTGTAATGCTTCGGATTACCACGCCTTAGTACACTTCAAAATCGAGTTCAAAAAATTGTTCTGAGTGATTTAAATTTCCCTCTTTCGTGACGGGAAAACGGTCACAGAAATGTCCCCCATGAAGCGGTTTCAGTACTCATAGGCGGGCTGTTTTCGCCCACGTGTTGTAATGTCTTCGTACAAGCTTTTTAAAAGACTCTCTATATACGACATAACGCTGCTTATTCGATCACAGCCATGACAAAGTTCGCGTTGTGTCATTTTAGAAAATGACTAATACAAACCATCCACGCTCCTAATTATAGCCTATAATTACGGCATACTAAGTGGCATTGCATCTCGTTGTTCTATCACAATCGATGTACGATGATCTTTGTATCGTTATACCCGCTATCTCAACCTGACCCAAATATGCTTGTTTGCGCTAGTTTCTGCGCTTATAAAACTTATGTTAGTTCCAATACATAGCAATCAACGTTGGACTCAAACAGTACCTACTTACAGCGTGTAGATTTAACAAGGCATGCCCTCATCTTCTTCGCGGTTCTCACCGATGTCGCTATCATAACGAACCAGTGCTTTTACTTTAGCTCGCTTGTCACCAAACTTCCATAGTGCGCATCTCGATGCTCACGTCTGCTTTAATCATTCCTAACTTCTATACACCTCGTTGATGGTTAGTTACTGCGAAGTCGGTAGCAACCTTAGCGGCTGAGTAATCGACTATAAACACCATCCTCGCTTTCCCGCGACCGCTGTCGCCTTGCTTCACGTTGATCCTCCAAACGTCGGTGTTGATTCCTACAGCCTCTAGGTAGTTGCGTTGCTAGGTACTCTAGCATGTTCCCTAAAATGACGTTTATCCGATTCGCTGATACTTGCAGACGTGGGCCACAGCGATTTCCTTGCGTGCCTCGCATCGCTATGGCGGCCCCTCGCAACGTGCTTTCTTCGACCTGCGTTAGTGGGACTATTGCCCCAAACAGTAGAGACGTTCGCTGACGCAGGCGCCATACTAAGCCTGTATTTTGATAGCGCGTTCGCAATTGGTCAACGTTGAGTAGTGACATGCCATCTTTTTTAGTGCGGCGGCAAGGACGCCGGCGACAAGCTATGGAAAAGAGAAGCGTTAAAGATGTGACACTTTTCCCTACCCGAATCGCATTAGTTGGCCTACAAGTCAAAGATGAAGCGTGTAATGCTTCTGTAATTATGGTTTTCTCACGGCTTCGCATGCATGCGGTTTCTGAGCCCGTGGGGAGAAAAGTATTAGTGGAGGTACCTCGATAGCGTATTGACATGCATAGCGGTGTCCTGCACAAACGTGTATTTAAAAGAGAAGTTCCTGCACGCTTTCTCGTTGTACGGCGTTCCTCATCGGCAGAGTTACGTTCGACCTGAAATCAACCGCAAAAAATAGCGCATTACATTATTACTTTCCTTATTTCGGAAAATATCTAGTGAAATTGCTCTTTTTTGAAGAAGATTTCGAAAAAATCTATAAATCGAACACGAAAAAACGTTACTTGCCATAAGCTGGATAATAAGCTTTCTGTTGGTGATCCGAGAAGCCAACTTTGTGGCTGGATTGTCGGATGCTGTTAATTTGAGTTGCGACTTTTAGCGGGCACCTTCCCGCCAAGCACTTAAGCTGATGGCCATAATTAACAACGCGCGATTAGAAATCGAGTCATTACAATGTGTGTTATGTTCGACCATAAATACACTTCTCATGTGGAACTTGTACGTATTTTTCCTTCTCTCTCTCTCTCTCTCTCTCTCCCTCCTTATTCTTTGAAAGATACTAACGCCCATAGTGCGGGTACGGCCTAGTCCATACCGGAGTCTAAAATTGCCACAGGAGGGAGTGAGAATGTAGGGCGGAACAATCGAATTTAGGGTTCCGGTGATCGTCAAAACGGGAACGTGCCTTAATTCAAGTTTATTGTCCGATTAGGACTTTTTGAAAATGAACAAAGAGATTTTTTTAGAGTTCTTTTAATAACGAGGATGAACCAAAAGCTATGCTAGATTTATGGGAAGATCGTCAAAGTTGTACTCGACTACGATGTGCACTCTAAACAATCCATATTTTTAGAACCCCTTTTCGTGTTTCGGAGTATAAAACAAAAGTAATAGAAAACTCTGCAAGAACGAAATAAGGACATTCAAAATTATACAGAGATAAGTTGTTTCTCTACTTTACCAGATCTTCCGTACCTATTAGAACAGAATGCTAAAAATGCCACACATACTTCTAAATGCATAGAATACCTCGTCTATTAACGATAAATAAAAAAAAAAGTAAGCCATATTTGAATCCAGATTTCGATAAAGCTGGGTCGTTTCATGATGAACAAGCCTCATGTGTACATGTGTACACCTGTATTTATGTGTACATGTGTACACCTGTATTTAAGAACTTCCCTTGTTTACGCAACCGTATGTAGCGTTGGCGGGACTTTAGGTAGGGGACACCCAATATATTCTTCAACGAGAGGTTTGGCCGTAGCGTTGGCGGGACTCTGATTACAGCAGAAATGAACAAGAACGCAAAAAAACTTTTTGAATGAGAGTTCTTTTAATTACGAGGATGAACCAAAAGCTATGCTAGATTCGTGTTTGCTATTGACACGGAATCGCATATACACTACTCAGTCAGATTGTATCAAAAGTAAACAGATGGTTTTAAGAAGATCCGATAAAATGCGGCGCTTTAATGAAAAGATTAATTAGACGCATAAAAAACCAATAGATGCTAGGAAGATGCTTTTTTTAAGCTGGCTGGCTGCCTACCTATATGTCCGTGTCAATTGTCAATAACAAAATTTTATATATATATATATATATATATATATATATATATATATATATATATAATAAAAAACACCCTAATATTTAGATTGTGTCTATTTTTATTTTCTTTCATTTCATGCTAACGTTACGTACTTCAGTTAGAATATCAGATGGATGCATCACCTCACACGGGCACTCTTGCTGGTTGTTCTGTCTCTGACAGCTGGATAGATGACCGTGTTCTTCCTATACAGCCCGCGGTTTCTGTAAAGCAGGCACCTGTCGTTTTGGCCCCAGCACTGACCTTCGCACTGATCTTCCAGGCGCTGCTGCTTGCGGGCTCGGCATCTTATGTGACTTCGATCTGGCGCTTCCGGTGGATACTCGTGTCGAAGCCGCCTGAACCCTACGTTGGCTGGCACTTGCCAGTTTCTTTGACCTTGCCTGCGAAGCAATGAAATTATCCTTTCCTGTATATGCATCCTTATGGGTTCCCCTCCCACTCAGGAATCTTCGCTTCGAAGGCACTCGCCCAGCAAGCACGCTTTGGTGCTTATTGGCCTTTCGACGCCGCTCACCAGTTTCTTCTACATAACCCATCTCGGAGTGAACGCCTAGATCAGCTTTTGTAAGAATAAACACTCCTGCTTTAGCTACGAAGAAACTCGTAAGAGAGCAAAAGGTACGAAGATAATTACTTCCCTAGCTGTCTTGTGCCAGAGTTCAAAATTGTTAAAATTTTGTTTTCGTCACGACCTCACACGATTGCTAGCATACTGCGCCTACGATAAGGTTATATTATATATCAGCTAATATATACTGGTCTATGATATTTTTGCTGATGATCGTTCTGTTAACATACATTGCTATAATAGCGGTTCCGGCTGTGAAAGACTCGAAGCTATCTGGTCGGTGTTGAAAAATAATTTTAGAAACAACTTTTTATTCTAAAAATTCGATCGGATAATAGGTATATCGTAGCATATATATATATATATATATATATATATATATATATATATATATATATAGATATATATATATATATATATGTGTGCTCTTGCTTAAAAACGCTATCAAGACATGCAGACTTTTCTTTTTTTAATCACGGTAGCCCTTAATTTTTCCTTGTTCCTGAAAGAGAACGTCGCTTCAGATGCTTAAGGGTAGTCTCTAAGTTGAAAATGACTTAATCTAACAGAACTTGTTTTTACGTCTTTCGATCACTTCGTTGAATTAAGCATGCGTCGAATGCTCACCAGCCACATGTTATTGTTACAGCTATTGTAAAGTTAATAGCGCGCTTCTTTGCAAACTTGATGATATAGGCATGTGTGAAAATAAAATGAAAAACTTTCCTTGTGTAATGTAAGGGCAACAAATGGCTAAGCAGACTATATTTACCTTAAGAATAGTGAGACAGCTATAGTGACTGATAACAACGAAGGCGATCAATTGTCGCCAAGGATATCCTTGAAGTTAGTTTCCATTGTGTCGCCGCCGTGGAAGCTGTAAGTTACTTCAGCGCTGCTTTTCAAATCCAGTTGTCGACTTTCCGACGTATTTTACGGTCGCGAACCACTACGATTCTTCGCCAAGCAATAGCATCATTATAATCGTTACAAACGAAATTTCGCCACCCGAAATGGCAGTTTAATTGCAAAAGCTCTCAGTGGAATTTCGTGCAACACGAAAACGTAAATTCTGCGTCTCCCGTCGAAATACTACGTAGCCAAATATTATCTCGCTGATGAACGCAACTCGTGTACCACCGCAGTTCTAGTATTGTTTATATTTACGGGAGGTGGAACGGACGACATCAGTGCCCAATTTGAAGCCATCGTGAGCTGTTTGAAGTTTGCAAGGGTTGCACTGTCTCTGAAAGATCCACTGCTTATGGCTACGTATCGCGAATTAAAACCCCGAAAAATCGAAACATTCAGTTGTTGCCAGCGGTCTTAGCTGGCTCTGGGTCGACTCTCTGATGAAATCGGTAGCAAATATTGTAAACCGAAAGCTAGATCGGACCACTGTCCTTATTCAGAGGCTCATTTGATTTCAGTCTCGCAGATTCGTCACTGTTGTCGGCGTGCCGTTGCCCTGACGATTGGTTGCGGGTAATGGCATCTCCATCAAAACGTCTGTGTTGTTTTTCTGGACCACGGTATATTGCCGATCGATGCGAGCTAACGCAATTCTGCTAGTGTCAGTCTTTTGTCAGAGATTGGATGTTACTGTCAATCAAAGTGTATTTGGAGGCTTCCGGTTTCTGTTTACTTGCGTTTGCGTTCACACTGACCTTCGGCGTGGCCATGTTTTCCCTCTTGGGAATCCTCCAGCCAATTGAGAACCAGGAAAATTCACATATAACACTGTGCAGTTCACTTGATTAAAAAAAACGTGTGGGCATTCAGTCAACGAAATCGAGGTGTATGCCTAGAGCGGAACAGAAGAAAGAACACCACGGTAACATTTTTTCGGAAGTAAGTTTCAGCGGCCTGCTGGGACGCAACTGTCTATTCGAATTTTGATTTAGGAAATGTTGTATACAACATTTGTGCGATTGTATCTGACAACAACGGCTTCTACACACGGGTAAACAACAATAAACGAAAAGTCTAGTCCGCTTCGATAAGCAGTGAATACAGTGCTGTATTAAAACACTTGTGGTAATGCTGTGAACCTTTAAAGTACTTCACAAAAAAACCTAGGACGTATTAAGTCACCCTATACAAGTATGCAATTTTTTTCTCAATAGAGCCTATTTCATCAAATTGATTGTTGAATTAACTTGATTTGACTGGCAACAGAAGAGTAAGTCGTCTTCTACCACAATCTCGAGTTGCGCCATGCAGAAGTTCGGATTGCTATCTCGTAGACTTTGCTGCTAGTCAGTTGCAAATCAGCATCGAAAAAAAACAGTCGGCATGCGTTCGCTGATCCTCTTCCTCTACCGATGTATTTTACCTGTTACAGCTGGCGCCTTGTCAGTAACAGTGTTATCAGGAGCCCAAAACCCAAAGGTTTTCTTCCTTGCTTTCTTATCATTTTACATAAATCGGGACGTATCCTGACTTTCTTCTACAAACGGAAAAGTCAACTGTGAGAGAGACCTGGACAGCGGTCCAGATCAGAGCTGGAGGTCACGTCCGTGTCGTGGAAAAACTGCCAGTCGATATTTTGATCGCTTCGGCGTCTGACAGCGACAACTATGAACGGCTGTAGCACTCTTCCGGGGTGGGGGAATAAAGGTGTCACAAGCCTGTGCTGAGCTAAGCGTTTCAAACTCGCTTTCTATTTTGCCCGCGAGTCACATCATGCACAGCATACAAGTGCGACCATTACTATAAGGTCTGCCCGTGACGGCACTGGGTTAAGAGACGTAACGGTGAATAGGCGCAAGCTATGTCTTGCTGCTTCGCTCTGTGTGGTAGTTGCTACTGGATGACACGACACGTACTCAGCTAAATGGGTATACAGCTGACGTATCATAGGGCAGACGCGCACGATGACTCCATTATGTTTAGAAGGGTGTCAGAGGACGAGCGGGAAGCTAGCTTAATTATATACGCATGCTGCTACCGCTGATGCTGCT